CCCCCCCCCCCCCCCCCCTGTACTCAGAGTACAAATGCAGGAGCTTGAGAGCAGCGCAAGCCCAGAAGCTCCAGGTTCAGCTTCAGCAGGCCCACCGCCTGCCCCTCCAGAACCAGAACCCGGGTAGTAACAAGCCCGAACCCTCCCAGACCGCGCCCCAGGACGTAAAGCCAGACTCTCAACGAGCTGACCTCCCAGCCCCCGCCCCCGCCCCGGCCTCTGAGCCAATCAGAGAGGTGAACCCCCTCGTGGGTGACGTGCCGTAGAATGCTTCCTTTGCTTGTGTGCACTCACTCTGCTGCTGGTGTGGACGAGCAGAGCAATTTATCAAAGGCTGAGTAACTCTAGGTCAGGGTCTGAGTCTAACTCTAGGTCTCAGTCTAACTCTAGGTCTCAGTATAACTCTAGGTCTGTGTCTAACTCTAGGTCTGAGTCTGGGTCTGGTTCTAACTCTAGGTCTGGGTCTAACTTTTGGTCTAACTCTAGGTCTGGGTCTGAGTCTAGCTCTCGGTCTTAGTCTAGCTCTAGGTCTGGGTCTAACTCCAGGTCTGGGTCTGAGTCTAGCTCTCGGTCTTAGTCTAGCTGTCGGTCTGAGTCTAGCTCTCGGTCTGGGTCTAACTCTGGATCTGGGGCTAACTCTGGGTCTAACTCTAGGTCTGGGTCTAACTCTAGGTCTGGGGCTAACTCTAGGTCTGGGGCTAACTCTAGGTCTGGGGCTAACTCTGGGTCTGAGTCTGGGTCTGGTTCTAACTCTAGGTCTGGGTCTAACTTTTGGTCTAACTCTAGGTCTGGGTCTGAGTCTAGCTCTCGGTCTTAGTCTAGCTCTAGGTCTGGGTCTAACTCCAGGTCTGGGTCTGAGTCTAGCTCTCGGTCTTAGTCTAGCTGTCGGTCTGAGTCTAGCTCTCGGTCTGGGTCTAACTCTGGATCTGGGGCTAACTCTGGGTCTAACTCTAGGTCTGGGTCTAACTCTAGGTCTGGGGCTAACTCTAGGTCTGGGGCTAACTCTGGGTCTGAGTCTAGCTCTGGGTCTAGGTCTGGGTCTAGCTCTAGGTCTGGGTCTGGGTCTAGCTCTGGGTCTAACTCTGGGTCTGGGGCTAACTCTAGGTCTGGGGCTAACTCTGGGTCTAAGTCTAGGTCTGGGTCTAGCTCTAGGTCTGGGTCTAACTCTAGGTCTGGGTCTGGGTCTAACTCTGGGTCTGGGGCTAACTCTAGGTCTGAGTCTATTTCTGGGTCTGGGTCTAACTCTAGGTCTGGGTCTAACTCTAGGTCTGGGTCTAACTAGGTCTGGGTCTAACTCTGGGTCTGGGTCTAACTAGGTCTGGGTCTAACTAGGTCTGGGTCTAACTCTGGGTCTGGGTCTAACTCTAGGTCTGGGTCTAACTAGGTCTGGGTCTAACTCTGGGTCTGGGTCTAACTCTAGGTCTGGGTCTAACTAGGTCTGGGTCTAACTCTGGGTCTGGGTCTAACTCTAGGTCTGGGTCTAACTAGGTCTGGGTCCAACTCTGGGTCTGGGTCTAACTCTAGGTCTGGGTCTAACTTGGTCTGGGTCTAACTCTGGGTCTGAGTAAAGCATAGTGCTTTTTCAATTTGTATAAAGAATGTTTGCATGAATCACTAGTGGTTCATGTAGAACCTCTTCGTTGAACTTTTCAAAGAGGCGCTCAGTGAGGCTCAGTGAGGCTCAGTGAGGCTCAGTGAGGCTCAGGTGAGGCTCAGTGAGGCTCAGGTGAGGCTCAGGTGAGGCTCAGTGAGGCTCAGGTGACCCGGCGTGCGTCCTAACGCGTCACGTGACCTCTGCATTTTTTGTGCTTTGTTGATGAACGTCCTCCGCTCTGCAGCTGGATGAAACTAACACACCCTCGGCTCCCCTGATTGGCTTCACGTTGAACTTTGAACCACTGTAACGGCGCCCGTCTGCCCCCCCCCTCCCCCCTCGTAGGCAGACGACCGCTACCGGAAGAACATCCAGGGCTCTCCTCAGGCGGCGTCCACCAAACCGCAGCTGCCGCCAGTGCCGCCACGCTCCGAGTCCTCCTCCCACCCCAATGGCAACCCGGCCCCGGAGGTGGCGCCCGCCGTGCACCGGCCCGTGGAACCGCAGGTAACCTCCCCCCACCCCCCCACCTCGCACACACCTGTTTCACCTCCACCGCTCAGGCCCCCTGCTGCCTTTGTCCTCCTGCCTGCGGACTCGGTCGGAGCTCATGTTTGTTTAGAGAGTCTCAAGGTGAACACTCGCGTCACGTGACGGCGACTTCCTGTCCACGCTTTGATCCCACAAACCGCTCACATCTCGCTCTTCTGTCTGCTGTTCATCTTTGCAGCGATTTCCTTTCCTCTGGCCGGTAGAAGCGGCCGCTATGATGTCATCGCCGATGACGTTTTGTTTCTCTGCTCTTGGATCAGTTCGCCCTGAGCACCAGGAGAAGAGTGGTGCTGAATGTGGAGGTTAAACGAGCCGTTGTTTGGACCAATCAGCCGCAGGCTATGTAAGAAGTGGGCGTTGTCATGGTGACGTCACACATTGGTTTCTCGTGTCATGAAGCCTCGACTTTGGCAGTTTGACCGTCGCCGTATTGTTTGTTTTCCCAACCAGAGGGTCACACAATAGGTGGAAGAACGACGTACAACCAGTCATAGACGTCTATGAGGAAATGACTCCACTTCTCTCTGGGTTTATTTCCTCAGTGAACATTACAAACATGAGTTCATGGTCTCTGTCTCTAGTTTCAAGTCTTCTTCAGTACAGCGTGATGTTCATTTAGTGAATTATGGTCCATGTAGAGTCAAACGGACCATAAAGCTGGAGACAATTTGGGCGGGGCTACGCTCTGATTGACAGCTCTCTAACAGAGACGTATGCACCGTCTCTACGTCTCACTTCCTGTTCACTGGTTGCAAGAACGAAAAGAACCCGAGGCTTCGAAACGTCCACAAACCAGCAGGTGACGTCACCATGGCGACGACCTCCTCCCACTCGCCGTCTGTGACTCGGCTCTGGAAGGTGGAGACGTGGAGCTCATGTGGTGAACTGTTTCTCTCGCTGGTCGTTGGGCTGCTGTTTCCTCAGTGTGAGTCGGCCGGAGTAGATCGTGTTTTTGCGGATGATGTCGTTGGTCACAGAGAGGGGAGGAGCTCTGGATGCGTCCTTGTGTTAGTCTTCATCTCTCTCTCAGGAGTCTAATCTGCTTCTATCGTATGTGAGATGTTTGATTTCCTTCTTCTTCCAGGGCTGTCATCACTTCCCCATTTCCCTTTAAAAGCCTCCATCAAAAGACAGCTTTGTGTTTTCTTCATTCTCTAACAGATAATCTTTTGTTGGCGACCCTGATATCTTCTTTTGTGATTAACCCTTTGATTGACAGGTGGTCCTCCCACTTGTCACAGCCAACAGGAGCCCTTTATTCAAATGTGTCACTGTGTGTGTGTGTGTGTGTGTGTGTGTGTGTGTCTGCTCATCGTGTGCTGTTGATCCTGAGATGATTCACTGGCACCCAGATGTGCGTCCAGGTGACTCGTCTGTGAACGATCCGCTCCACTGAAGCCAATCGGTCTCGAATGTGTCGCACAGATTAAATCACACCAGAGACGTCTGTTTTCGGGGGTCTGACTCATGTTGGATTAAAATAATGCCTCATTATTACGCAGCCTCAGCGTCTTAAAGCAAAAGGATCAAGTTGTAATACATATCAGTTATTAATATATAACAAATATAATATTAGTTAAGATATTAAAATATGAGAATGACTTGACTTTAATGAGCTTTGACTCCTCCCATTGGACCAACAGAAACATTCTTCGGGGGGGGTCTTCAGAGGTCAAAGAGCTCTCCGTCTCTTCCTTCCATACAGGAAGTTGGAGGCTCTTCTCCTTCCTGAAGGTCTCATGTTCTTTCAGTTGAAGATGCCTCACGCTGGGCTTTCTGGGATGTTATTTAATAAAAGAGGGGCGTTTCACAAACGCACAAAATGTTCCTTCTTAAGATGAATAAACCGTAATCTGCAGGTTTTCATCCATATCGAGTAAAACTCTTGAAGATGCAGCCGGCAGGAGTTATGCCCAAAGGAACGGCCACCATCCAACGCCCATGTATGTCGTTACTCAGCATGAAGACGGGCTAGAAAGGGAAGCGTTTAGGAGGCACCAGCTGAAGGTGCAGCGTGTCATTTCAGCCTCAGTCGGCTCACTGAGCTCCGTGACAATCACAAGGCGTATTTCTTCATCCCTGCGAGATGTTCCACAGACAGAGTGTTCACGTGTGAGCTGGTCACTGTCTCTATCACGAAAGGTTCCCGTAAGGACCACGTCAAGGTCCCCGGTGTTGCCGAGTCGGGGCTCGCCTCATCACCACGGCAACGCCACACACGGCAGCCATGCTGTGCACCGGCCTGTCGCCAGGTAAACAGACATTACTCGCCCTTCTCGTTTGTGTTGATGGAAAATAAAATCTGCACAGTTTGGTAAATTATTCATCTTTATTATAAAAAAATAAAAACTAGTTTTGTAACTGTGAATAATTTATCTAGAATAAGATCTATAATTTATTGTCCATCTGTCTGGAGTTTGTGTTTGTGAAAACATAAAAAAGCAGAGAAGAAGTATTTGCATAAAATAGCAAGTAAAATGCAAATGAAGGAGAGTTAAACTGGGCCCAGAATGCTGCCCTGTGGGACTCCACTGCTTCTGTATTTAGGGGAGAATTTAAGAGTTCAGGTAATGAGCTGAATCAGTCCAGGACTCAAAACACAAATGAGATCTCAGTGAACGCACACTGCACACAACGTACCGAGTAAAGTCCTTTGCAGGCTTCAGGAAGAAGAAAGAACCCTGAAGCTCTGTGAAACTGTCTCGTTAAAAAGAGATAAAACGGAGTTTCACTCGACAAACAGGCACATTGTTTGGAGATGGATCAAACGCACACAAACACAGTGTCTGTACAACCGGCGCACTCGGTGACTTCCCCGTGTGTCTCTCCGGCCGTGGGTGTGTGTGTGGTGTGCGGGGGGGAGGGTTTATGTAATAGCTGTCTAACCTTCCTTTGTGTGTGTTTGCACACTTTTCTATTTCCAAACTGTGAATCTTCTCACGAGATACTCGTGAGATGCATCTTACTTAATCTCCAGAACAACTCGTAGTCTGTTCTTACTCCACCTTTTTAGCATATTTGAAAGACTCTAACGCTGGAAATACAATGAAGGGAGTCTGTTAATATAATGATTAATATATTTATTATATTAAATAAAAAAGTCCCCAGTGTGTAAAATGTGAGCAGTCCGGTGTCCTGTGCCTGTGACCTTGTTGACCCGCTGTTTGTTGGCTCTGCAGCGCGGCCGAGCCTCGGCTGCTGTGGGAGCGAGTGGAGAAACTGGTTCCCAGGCCCACCAGTAACAGCGGAGCCTCCAGTTCCTCCAGCAGCTCCAGCAACTCCAGCTCGCAGCCCGGCTCCCACTGCGGCTCTGGGGAGCGCTTCAGGGCCCGCCGTGAGTCCACGCGCACCTTCCGCCGGGCCGCACCCAGACAACATGCGGGGGGGGTGGAGGCACAGCCGCCATTTAGAGTAAACTGATCTTTTCACCTCCACCTCCCTTCAGCCTCGTCCAAATCCGAGGGCTCGCCCCTCCAACGGCCCGACGGCACAAAACCCGAGGAGAGGCGGGACTTGGTCCGGCCGAACAGACCAGCGGTGAGCGTTGAGTCCACGCCCGACTAGCCGGTTGCGTAGCTCGCTAGCTGGGATGGATCTAGAGCTAGGAGTGTGTGTGTGTGTGTGTGTGTGTGTGTGTGTGTGTGTGTGTGTGTGGCCTGATGGCGCGTTTCTCTACGGAGTGAATGGCAGCGGTGGACTTTGCGGCGCTCGCTGGCTGAAGGGTTTCCTGCACCTTGCCGCTTGCTTTCTCTCTCCGATGGCGGCCGCCTTGACTGCCTCACTGTCTCATTACTCAAGTCCATCACTAACCTTCGGGGATCCTCCCGCGCTCGCCGCTCTAACGTTGGCTTCTCATTGGCTGGAGCGCGTCTTTTAACAACTTCCTCTCCCGCAGCTTTCCGTTTCCTGCCGACTGAACGTCTTGACTAACAGCTCGCGGGTAGAAGAAAGAAAAACGGCCGGCCGGCGTTCCAACGGAGGGAGACGCGCGTCAGCCAATGACCTCAAATGACGCCGCTCTCTCTTTTTCTCCTCTCACCTTTGACCTTCAGGACCTGACGGCTCTGGCCAAGGAGCTGCGAGCCGTGGACGATGTCCGCCCCCCCAACAAGGTGACGGATTACTCCTCCTCCAGCGATGACTCGGACACCACCGACGAAGACGACGACGAAGAGGTCGACCAGGAGGCCGGCGAGGAATCGACCTCGGGCCCCGAGGACTCCAGAGCCGCGTACGTGTCGGATTCATTATGACGTCGTCACGCGCATGCGTGACATTATGATTCCGTGGAACCGGCCAGCAGTGAACTCGCTCTTCTTCCGTCCGCAGCTCGTCCCGCCTGAGTAACGGGGAGACGGAGTCGGTGAAAACCATGATCGTACACGACGAGGGCGAGAGCGACGCCGGCTCCACGCCGTGCAAAGACGGCACGCTGATCGTCAGACAGGTACCGCCGGGGGGGGGCGACAACCACAGCAACCATCTCCAGCACTCCCTGTTGTGTTTACTCCCATTTGGTTTGTGTTCACGTGTGGTGTTGTTGATTTGTCGGCCGCTGGGAGCCGCTCGGCGTCCCTGAGGACAGACCTTCCCTGTAGCTCAGTGACACGAGGAAGACGAGTAGCTGGTCTTCAGGAGCAAAAGGCCTCATGTTCCATTTTAGATCCATTCACCATCGGATGCCGTTAGGATTGAGCATTCAGCTAAACGATGACCTGACCTTTGAGGACGGCGTTGAGCTAACGAGCGTCTTCGTCCCGCAAGTAGAGTAGCAGAATGAGTGCCGCCACAGCTGACAGCCCCCCCTCCCAAGGACCGGTCCCGCCGCTCAGTTAGGCCCTCGGCCGTCTGCCCCTCTCTGTACTTCCAGAGCGCTGGTGACGGCAGAAAGCGTCCGGGCCCCGGCCCGGGTCGAGCCCCGCCCCTCCCCGGCCTGCTCGCGGGCTTCGCCCCGAGCGCCGGCCCGGGTCTCAGCCACCGCGCCCCCAGCCCCCACCATCATCACCACCACCACCACCACCACAACAACCACCACCATCATCACCCCACACAGCACTCGGAGAGGAACGGCCTCGCCGGCCGAATCCACCACCTCCCAGACCTGATCCAGCAGAGCCACCATTCCTCCCCCCCCTCCTCCTCCGCATCAAACTCCCCCTCCTCCTCCAGCCTCGCCAGCCCCTCCTCCATGTCCCCCCAGAGCCCCATGGAAACGCTCAGCCTCCTCATCGAGGTACGTTGCCCGAATCCCCGACACGGGATCCTTCTAAGAGCATCATACATGGTGGGGGGTCCGGGTCCTCGTGGTCCGCGTAGTAGTAGTTCACAGGTCCTCAGCAGCTGCAGACTCCTATTTAAAGTTACTGTGGGGAACTTTTAACTGGTCCTGAACCGGTCTCGATATATAACCCTGATCCCAGAGACGTAGTGCTGGACCTTCTGGAGGGAAGGGAGGCCCGGGAGGACCAGGACCAGGACTGAGAGGGTCAGACCAAAGGAACGCTGGTGGTTGAGACACTATAAACGACACAATAAAAAACCAAATAAAAAGTTTCTCCCAGTAACTGGAATGCGGTGTCGCTCTGTGGTGCCCTGTGGTGTTCTGACGTGATGGGGAGGCACTCGGCGCCTTCTGCTGGCCGCCATCGGCCCGGCAGCCTCTTTTCAGATCCACGCTACATGTGGACGCTGTAGTTACCCAGTGTTTGTTAATACAGGGGGGGGGGGGGGGTGCTGCGTCTCAGGGGTGATTCAGAAGTTCCACATGAAGACAAAGCAACTGTTTATTTATATTCTTTTGACATCCTGTTAAAAATACATTCAGGCCTCATCGGGTGAACTTTTGGGTTACGATGTAATCTCGTCCCAGCAGACGTGTTTGCGCTGGTTCACTGCCCCCCCCCCTCCACACACACACATCTAAATCTCATTTTCATTCATGTGGCCCGTTCCCAGTCGTATTCTCACATTCTACAGACAGAAAGTCGTAGCCGACAGGTTAGGAGCCCGACGGCAAGTACGTCTCCGGAAAATCACCTTTTGTTCTTTTTGTCGACACGTTTTTGCTTCCGTCGTCATGGTTTCCCCTCCACCTTTTCCCCTCTGTGTTCATGGATTCCCCTCCACCTTTTCCCCTCTGTGTTCATGGATTCCCCTCCACCTTTTCCCCTCTGTGTTCATGGATTCCCCTCCACCTTTTCCCCTCTGTGTTCATGGATTCTCCTCCACCTTTTCCCCTCTGTGTTGGATGCGCATGCGGCTCCTCTGAGGCTCCTCGTTGTTCTCGTTGGACGTTGAGCTTTGGAGGAGCTGACCGTGGTTCCTTCTCTCCGTAGAGCCAGTCTAGTAACAACATGCAGAAGCACAAGTCCTCCTCCTCCTTCACGCCGTTCATCGACCCCCGCCTCCTGCAGGTGTCTCCGTCCACCGGCAGCGCCCTCAACAACATCGGTAGGTTGCAGAGGTCAAAACAATCACAATCTCTCCCCTTTAAATATCACTATCACCCCCCCCCCACCCCCCCCCTCCTGCTACACTCACGCTGACCATGTAACCTCTGACCTCTGCCCTCTCAGGCTACGGGAACGACGCCCGGCTGGCCGAGGCGCTGAGGGCCGACCCGTCCCGTAAGGGCTCCGTGGTCAACGTAAACCCGGTGAACACGCGGCCGCAGAGCGACACGCCGGAGATCCGCAAGTACAAGAAGAGGTTCAACTCGGAGATCCTGTGCGCCGCGCTGTGGGGTCAGAGCCTTCCTCCTCCTCCTTCTGCCTCCTCCTTCTCTTCCTCCTCCTCTCTTCTTCCACCTCCTCTCCTCTTCCTCCTCTACCTCCTCTCCTCCTCCTGTGTATATATATATATATATATATATATATTAGTGCAGATGAACACATTATTAACAGCGTTAACCCAAACCCATTTTAATGGCGTCAATGTTTTTCTCGCTTGCTTTTTGCTTTGCATGTTGTGACCCAGCTGCTTGATCCTGTTTGAAGGACAGTCGGACAAATGTCACGTCATTCTTCTTCATAAAAAAGCCACCAGCACAACAACATATGATCGTATATTAAATTCATTTACATCAACATGTAAATCGTTTTTTCAAGTACACACAAAACCCTTAACCTTCATAATTTTTGGCAATGTTGTTTTTCAATAAAATAAAACATTTGCATAAAGCAAGCCAATCACTTTTCCATGTTGATAAGAACATTAAAATAAGAAATTATGGAGAAAAAAACGAAAGTAAATTTAGAATAGATACAAATGTGCGATTAATTTTGAGTTAACTGCGACATCAATGTGATTAATCGTGATTAAATATTGTTTTGACAGCACTAATCATCTTCACCACCTAGTAGCACAGCAGAGTCCTGATGGTGTGTGTGTGTGCGTGTGTGCGTGTGTGTGTGTGTGTGTGTGTGTGTGTGTGTGTGTGCGTGTCTGTGTCTGTGCGTGTGCGTGCGTGTGCGTGTGCCTGTGCCTGTGTCTGTGTCTGTGTGTGTGTGTGTGTGTGTGTGTGTGTCTGTGTGTGTGTGTGAGAGCAGGCGTGAACCTCCTGGTGGGGACAGAGAGCGGTCTGATGCTGTTGGATCGCAGCGGTCAGGGGAAAGTTTATCCTCTGATCAGCCGTCGGCGCTTCCAGCAGATGGACGTCCTGGAGGGACTCAACGTCCTGGTCACCATATCAGGTACACACACACACACACACACACACACACACACAGCTCTTGCCCAAGCATTGTGATACACACATACACGTTCCTACTTCTCCTTCTCAATGTCACACACACACACACACACACACACACACACACATGCAGTCAGATGTCTGTGAGTGACGCACAGTGTGTAAAGCCACGTGTGTGACATGTACACACACACACACACACGTTGTCTTCATGCTGACGGGCTTCTGTGAGGAGAAGTAGAATACGCGTCATGGAAAGTTCTGTTTGAGAAGCAGAAATAATGTGAGGCAATTATACAATACTATGACTTTTAATCGAGCGTCATGCTTCGACTTTAAGTCGCGTGTTACGATCCGTTAATTTATGCGAAATAGTTTCTCTCAGAATGAAACCAGGATACAAAAATATATTCTCAGCATCCAATCAAAAACACATTTTAAGCCTCAAGGAGCCTGAAGGTCAGAATGACAGCTCCTCAGTCTGAGGAGAGAAGACTCTGGTCTTCTGGTGGAGGAGTTGAATGCATCCGACATGATTGTTGGACGTCTGTGTTGCAGGTAAGAAGAACAAGCTCCGGGTGTACTACCTGTCCTGGCTGAGGAACAAGATCCTGCACAACGACCCCGAGGTGGAGAAGAAGCAGGGCTGGACCACGGTGGGAGACCTGGAGGGCTGCGTCCACTACAACGTCGGTAGGCCACGCCCCCGCGCACCCCGCACGCCATGGGCCCCAGTCTCTGCAGGACATTCGGTCCTCCGTGGGGTCTCAACATGCGCCGTTACTTCATCCGATCATATTATATTCACAACGCCATCTCTCAGAGCTCAATAACTCCACCAGCGCAGCTCCGGAGCTCCAGAGCCGCTGCGTTGCCGTGGAGACGCGACGTGCTGGGAAGCCCTCAGTGAAGTAACGTCAGAGACGACCTGTCCAAAATCCAGGATGTCCCCGTCATGGCGGTTGAAGACGGGCACTTCCTGTTGGAAACCCCTCCACGCTCCATCTGCTATCACCGACTTCCTGTCGGCCGGTCTCGAGCGAGCCGATTGGTCCAGCGGAGTCTTTGTTTGAGCACTCGTGGAAAGTACAGTTCAGGGCTTTCCAGACGATTTTGAGAAACACTCAACAAAGAGATGAAAGTCTTCTGCTGTAACTCGTCCCAACGCGAGGAACAAGAGTCTTACGTTTACAGCGGCTGAATTAATGCAGTGAAGATGCTGCGGCGCAAAAGCTGTTGTTTGGAGAATTAAGATGAAACGGCAAAAGTAAAGACTTTTTATGAGAATTAGTAAGAGTATACAAGCATTACATCACAAACATGATACCTAATAAAATTCTCCGAGAAGCAAAGAGCACAAAGACCAGCTGAAAACTCACCAACCGGAGGAACGGCTTGTGTTGCTCTAACCTTTATGTTTTTTGTTCCTCAGTGAAATATGAGCGGATCAAGTTCTTGGTTCTGGCTCTGAAGCACTCTGTGGAGGTCTACGCCTGGGCCCCGAAGCCCTACCACAAGTTCATGGCCTTCAAGGTGAGTCGACCCACTGGCTCGGCTTCGTTAGCTTCGTTAGCTTCGTTAGCTTCGTTAGCTTCGTTAGCTCATCACATTGTTTCTCCTGCTCAGTCTTTCGGCGACCTGGTGCACAAGCCGCTGCTGGTCGACCTGACCGTGGAGGAGGGCCAGAGGTTAAAGGTCATCTACGGCTCGGCCTCGGGCTTCCACGCCGTGGACGTGGACTCCGGGGCCGTCTACGACATCTACCTGCCGACACACGTGAGGACGCCCCCACTAGGCCTCTCTTTGAGTATTGAGGGGGTTGTTTAGTCATCAGCTCAGGGTGGAGGGACACGTCCAGCCCCTCCATGTTCCACAGCTGATGCCGACATGGAGACAGAGGAGGCCCCAGAGCAGGATTACCTGCATTATGTCTTCTCTGTCGTCAAAAGGCCTTTGTCTCCCCCCCCCCTGCAGATCCAGACCCACATCCAGTCCCACGCCATCATCATCCTGCCCAACACCGACGGCATCGAGCTGCTGGTGTGCTACGAGGACGAGGGCGTCTACGTCAACACGTACGGACGCATCACCAAGGACGTGGTGCTGCAGTGGGGGGAGATGCCCACCTCAGTGGGTGAGTCGGGGGACAATTCATGCGTAGTTTTGTGTGGGAGGATCTATTCATCAAAGTTCATGTTTGTGATGAGTCATTAAACATCACATGCTAACGCGGCTATCTCCTCTTCACTGCATCTCTGCAGCCTACATCCGCTCCAACCAGATCATGGGCTGGGGGGAGAAGGCCATCGAGATCCGCTCGGTGGAGACCGGCCACCTGGATGGCGTCTTCATGCACAAGAGGGCCCAGAGACTCAAGTTCCTCTGTGAGAGGAACGACAAGGTGAGGGGCCTCCTGCTGGGGTCCAACCTGGATGGAGAAGAGAACGTTGTAGTGTCGTTAATGATGGACGAAGAGCCCAATGAATGCCTCTTTGTTCCAATCAGCAGATAGTCTTTAACCAGGTGACCTGATGGCGTCTCCTCCCCCACCTTTGTCTCCTCCCCCCACATGTGTCCCCTCCCCCCACCTGTGTCTCCTCCCCCCACATGTGTCTCCTCCCCCCACCTGTGTCCCCTCCCCCCACATGTATCCCCTCCCCCCCACCTCTGTCTCCCCCGCCCACCTGTGTCTCCTCCCCTCACCTGTGTCTCCACCCCTCACCTGTGTCTCCACCCCTCACCTGTGTCTCCTCCCCCCACCTGTGTCTCCTCCCCCCACCTGTGTCTCCTCCCCCCACCTCTGTCTCCTCCCCCACATGTGTCCCCTCCCCGCACCTGTGTCCCCTCCCCCCCATCTGTGTCTCCTCCCCCCACATGTGTCTCCTCCCCCCACCTGTGTCCCCTCCCCCCACATGTATCCCCTCCCCCCACCTCTGTCTCCTCCCCTCACCTGTGTCTCCACCCCTCACCTGTGTCTCCTCCCCCCACCTGTGTCTCTTCCCCCCACCTCTGTCTCCTCCCCCCACCTGTGTCTCTTCTCCTCACCTGTCTCCTCCCCCCACCTGTGTCTCCACCCCTCACCTGTGTCTCCTCCCCCCACCTCTGTCTCCTCCCCCCACCTGTGTCTCCTCCCCCCACCTGTGTCTCTTCTCCTCACCTGTCTCCTCCCCAGGTGTTCTTCGCCTCCGTCCGTTCTGGAGGCTCCAGCCAGGTGTACTTCATGACTCTGGGCCGAAGTAACCTGCTCAGCTGGTAGAGGTCCGCGCCCCCCCCCCCCCCTCCTCTTCATCGCCCTCCAACCCTTCGCTAACACTGGATGTCAGGACCCCCCGAGAGTGAGAGGGACTGCACCGACGTCACCTTTCAGTCTGGAGCTCCGCCCCCCCTGACATACATGAACATGAGGGGATGATTAATTAATATATGAATGAAAGTAGAAATAAATTAAATGTCAGTTTAAGAAGGGGGGGGTACTTTAGTTGCTCCTGTGATGGCAATGGGACAGAATACTTCTACTACCTTCTAGGCCCCCCCCCCCCGTCTCTGCCGCGCCTTCTTCTCATGGGCCCACCGTTGTGTTAATACTGCAGTATTGTGTGTATTTGTACTGTTGTTTGACCTGCTGGTTGGAGGTTGAGGACTAAACTCAGGCGAGGGGGGGGCGGGGGGGGGGTAGTTCTGATGGAGGTCTCATGGATGTGACCTGGCCTGACTTGTGTGTGTGTGTGTGTGTGTGTGTGTGTGTGTGTGTGTGTTGTTGAAGTATTGTGTTGTTTCGACAGGTGCTTTACAAAAAAAACATGAATTAACAAATGGGGGGGGGGGGCTGAGGCAGTTTCTTTAATTATTACTATTATTATAAAGATAAGTGTAACTATGTGGAGTAAACATGTTTACCTTCTTTTTTTAGGATTCACGCACCTCCACCCTGTGTGTGTGTGTGTGTGTGTGTCTATAAGAGGAGGCGACACAGGTGTGTACCGTAAAAACATCCCTGAATCTTCCAGATGAGGTCATGTTTCTGCCCCCCCCCCCCCAAAGGAAAGCATGGCCGCCTGAGCTGAACCGCTGTGAATAGGAGATTTAATAGATTCAGAGTGTGTGTGTGTGTGTGTGTGTGTGTGTGTGTGTGTGCACGCGCGCATTAACTTTACAGAATGTAGAGCTCGCGGTGGTCCGACGCATGAGACCATCTTTTTCCTCGTCACGACTTAACAGCCCCCAGGTGTTTTTCTTTTTTTGGGGGGGGGGGTGAGGACTGGAATGGGGCGTTACCATGACAACGAGCAGAGCCCGTCTGCGAGGCTGGACTTCCTGCTGATGTGCATGTGAAAGACTGAGCACCATCCGCCTCCTCCAGGACTTTGACTTCCGTTTCCACGGCAACCCTTAAAGACAACGGCAGGTCAACGCCCCCCCCCCCCCCCCCCCAGTAGTTAAGGACAACTTTGTTTGGGGAAGAGCAAGAAGAAGAAGTCGCTTGAAGCTTTGCGTGTTTTCTGTTCTCGATAGTTTCTGTGCGTCGGCGTGTGGCTCCGCCCACCTCAGGTGGAGGAAATGTTTACACAGGTTCTAATGCATCAATCACGTTATGTTAAATGCATATTTCTTGTTTCTTTGCCCAGCTGTAATTGGATATTCTTTAGTTTTTTCTTTGCTCCCCCCCTTCACTACATGACCTCCTTTACAGGACAATGAAGAACACGCGTGTGCTTCTTTCAGGTATTCACATAGCTCCGCTCCTCCAACGGATGACCTCCGTGCGACAGGAAGTCCTGCAAGCTTTATTTTTTGTTGTTTGTTTTTTCTTTGAATAAACTTTTAAAAAGTACTTTCAAAAGAACCTCGTGTCCTTTGTCTCTGAAAGTTCCCTAAAAAACCCTCTCGTGTCGGCGTGTTGAAAGCAGCGTTGTTGTGACACGCGTTGGCCAATCAGCGCGTGAGAAGGAGACACTGTGTCCTCAGTTACATGGAGACATGTCCTCTGATACATGGAGTTACATGGACACACTGTGTCCTCAGTTACATGGAGACATGTCCTCTGATACATGGAGTTACATGGACACACTGTGTCCTCAGTTACATGGAGACATGTCCTCTGATACATGGAGTTACATGGACACACTGTGTCCTCAGTTACATGGAGACATGTCCTCTGTTACAGTCATCGTGTCCTCTGATACATGGACACACTGTGTCCTCAGTTACATGGAGACATGTCCTCTGCTGGTCACGGTTTGAGTTTGAGTTTAAAATCTCCGTTGAGTCCTTCAGTTAGTGAGGATGTGACGAAACAACAGCTTTTATTTCCTGTGAGAACGAAGTGAACCTTTAACACGTGCACACTTTAACACGTGCACACTTTAATACGTGCACACTTTAATACGTGCACACTTTAAGAGGTCACAATGCAGCTGCTGTAGAAATCACACTTTTATCTATCATGTTAAGATAAGTTCATCCTTTTATTTACAAAATGTTATTTAAGGTTAACAGGCTTTATTTATATTACATTTGACAGTGTTTATGCACCACGTTTTAGGTAAATGTTCTTATAAGCTTATATATAATAATATAGTTATATATGTTATATATATATATATATATATGTTATATAGTTATATATATATTAACCCTGTAAGTATTTGAACTAAGTGGTGGGAAGCTGATTTTTGATGTGATGAAACGTCGCGCTAGTTTCATTGGCACAAATGGTCCCGTATGTTGATCCCATGTGACACGCTGCTAATGTTCCAGTGTGCACACGGGAGGAATTCCCAAAACTCGCAATGTCTGCCATGTTTTGAGCTGGTGACCTTTGACCTGCACACGTCAGTCAGTTTGCTCACTCTGAACCCCCCCTCAATAAGGGATTATATGATTTACCTTTCACACACAAATAACTGCATATTATTGTATTCTGACGCCAACCTCCTGTCCACCCCCCACAGGGCCAAGCACCAGACACGGGGTGACAGAGCCGTCTCCACAGCCCCCCCCCCCCCCCTGGAGACCGCACTGAGCCGTCCACATTCACAAATCAAAGCCCACCTCTTCAGAACTGCTTTTAATGTGTGTTGTTTTCATTTATTTTGTAAAACTGTTATTATTCAATGTCCTTTCCTCTTGTGTGGACACGCTGTGTGTGTAGTTGTGTGTGTAATTGTGCTAAAACAAACACGTGTTTGACTGACGTGATCCAGACGTCTGTTATTGTGAATGAACCTGCAGGAAGCTCCGTGTTTGGCGTGTGCGCATGTACTGTGTGTGTGTGTGTGTGTGTGTGTGTGTGTGTGTGTTGAGTCAGAAGCTAACGTGGCAGCGGTGGTTTGAGCCGTGCGGCGTCACATTGGGAAACCTCAGAAGTTTCCATGTGAGAGCGGGACGATTGAAAAGAGAGCGCCAACGCCACATCTTCCACATCTGCCACATCTGCCACATCTGCCTCGCTCACCTGCACGCTGTGAGTATTCTGCACTTCATATAATACATGTTGTGTGTGTTGAGTTGTGATACTTTTAGTAGTGTTAAATGCTATTAAGTGATTCGTAAATGTGTGCAGTTTGTATCAAATATGTAATTGTGTTAATTTATTTACATTTATATTTGTATTCCTCTTATTTTACTTTGTAGTTTAATTATTTATTTTATACTGTTGCATGTTTTATAGATTTAGAATTGACTAAATTATATTCTAGAAATGCTAAAATAATTATTACAAATATTTTTCGACAAAGAAAATGTACATTTCAGAACAATTATCATTATAAGTTAATAATTCCAATTAATTCATATCAATGTATTTGTTTTCTTTGTGTAAGTACTTATTTATTTTAATCATAGCAACTCAATGAGATGTAAAATAAATCAATCTGAAACAGCACTGACAAGTTATCATTATATGATAAAATAAGCAAACAATGATATTACAAGAAGATTCATTGATTAATCATGAGAAATAATCTCCGGCTCATCGATGACGTTTCCATTTATTCCACACGTAGTGGAACGCATCGACACCCAGAAGCAGGAAGGGATTTTATCAATGAGGTTTCTTTTGATTGTGACTGTGTGTGTGTCTGTGTGTGTTGCTCCATGTCATCACAGACGAGGTCACGAAAGCAGAAGTGAAAACAATTTGGTTTATATCGAAATCCTTCGTGGTGAGTGGAAAGTTTCCTCTCCGATGGTTCAATTCAATTCATTTTATTTTGTAGCCCGAATTCCCTCAGAGGGCTTTACAGTCTGTACACATGAAACATCGTCCCTCCCGAAACCCGCCATCAGCGCAGGAAAAACTCCCCAAACAATGGAAACCCTTCATGGGGAAAAAAGGGAAGGAACCTCAGTGAGAACGTCAGAGGATCCGTCTCCTGATGGACAGACTACAATGAGGTCATGAGGACAGAATGAACAATGTAGAAGATGAACGATACACTCAGTTCATATGACAGAGATGATTCAGATAATTGTAAGTAGTAAGCAGAACCACTGCAGGGACCATCAGATAGAACCACCATCAGATAGAACCTCCATCACATAGAACCTCCATCACATAGAACCACCATCACATGGAACCTCCATCAGATAGAACCTCCATCACATAGAACCTCCATCACATAGAACCACCATCACATGGAACCACCATCACAGAACCTCCATCACATGGAACCACCATCACATGGAACCTCCATCACATGGAACCTCCATCAGATAGAACCTCCATCACATAGAACCTCCATCACATAGAACCACCATCACATGGAACCACCATCACAGAACCTCCATCACATGGAACCACCATCACATGGAACCTCCATCACACAGAGCATCCATCAGATAGAACCTCCATCAGATAGAACCTCCATCACATAGAACCACCATCACATAGAACCTCCATCACATAGAACCTCCATCACATAGAACCTCCATCAGATAGAGCCACCATCAAAGAACCACCATCAGAGAACCACCATCACATAGAACCACCATCCACAGAAGCCTGTGGGGAGGGAGAGCACAGAGACTTTAGGAGAGGGTCATGTTGTTTTATGATGACAGTAATATGGTAATAAAATAATAATAATGATAATATCAGCAGCAGGTGTCAGCAGGGCCACGGCAGGAGGCAGGAACAGAGTCCAGATAGAACCGTGGAAAACCTGCTGGGGAGAAAGAACAAAACAGAGAGCGTGAGAGAGGAGCAGTCTAAGCCCACAGCAGCTCAACTAAGGGCTGGTCCGGGCTCACCTGAGCCAGCCCTACAGGCACAATCCAAGAGGAGTCTTAAGCTTTACCTCGCAAAGGAGCTGACCGAATCTGTGTGTATAATATATAAAGATCTAATATGATGATTGAAGTTTGATGACAACATATTTTGATTAATAATTATTAATGATTACTTTTGAAGATTATTTCTACAAAGTTTAAATGATAAATAATCTTATTGTCACGCTTTTATCATCGTTAGTCATCAACCCTGCTGACCTGCGACCTTTAACCGCTCATCTCATGTGGTCGACAGCGATGACGAGTTTAAGTGTAAAAGCTCACAGCTGTTTCCCTCCCTCGGTCTCAGAGAGCAGAAGGACTTCCCGTTGGCCCTCACATCTCCTTCCCGTCCACCTCCACACCGTCATGGAGGTCCTGGTGCTCCTGCTCGCCGCGCTCCTCCCCCTACCTGCCGGTGGAGCAGCGACTCGGCAGGCTCCGCCCACCACAGGTGAGCCTTCAGCAAAGATGACGGATAACACACGTAAAGACGTGTTTGTGTCGCTTTATTGTGGCGGGGATTAAAAGAGAAGTGAATGTAAACGTCATGCTGTGACCCCCCCCCCCCCCCAGACGACTGCTACCCGGCGAGTCCCGAGATCAACCTGCTGAGAGAGGCGGGTGAACCCATAATCCTCTCCTTCCCCTTCTTCGAGAGCGAGCTGGAGAGACTCCACGTCGCCCCCCCGGCGAGGTGCCTCATCACCGGGCGCAACGGCACCTACCAGGGCGGGGGGCGAGTCCAGCAGCGCCGCAACCAGCTGTGGTTCCTCCCGGCCCGGGCCGAGGACTCCGGGGAGTATCTGTGCACGTACAGGTAACCGCACCACGGACGCGCTTGTTATTGGATGAGCGTGAAGGCCGGGCGCGTGCGTCCTTACGCACCGTCGTGTCGACGCGTGAATCTGAACGAATTGAAACGAGTTACTCGGACGCGCAGATGAAGACTCTGGCCCCGCCCCCTCCCTCAGGAACGCGAGCTGCTGTGTGCGCGCGAGCATCCGGCTGCAGGTGTACCGGTCCGGCTCCGCGGCCCGGCACAAGCTCTCCTTCCCGGTGCTCGCGCTGGTGGGGGAGCGCCTGAGGCAGCCGTGTCCCTCCGTCAAAGACTTCCGCGACGTGCAGGGACTCGTCGAGTGGCGCAAGGTGAGGAAGTCGCCCCCCCCCCCCCCCCCTCCCGCTCCTTGCTCCTCCCCCTGCCGCTCCTTGCTCCTCCCACATGACTGACGCGTCGCGTTGCCTCCCGACAGGACTCCGCCCCCCCCCGGTCGGGCCGAGCGGGCTCCTTCCTGCAGGACGGGGACCAGCTGCTCATCCCCGCCGTGAGGCGGGCGCACCAAGGCGTGTACACGTGCCACGTGCACGCGCTCATCGACCAGCGGCACTTCGAAGTGAGCCGCACCGTGGTGCTGAGCGTGGAGGGTGAGGGATCAATGAGAACAATCCATCGATCGACTGGACCCTGACACCAGGGTCACGAGCGCGTGCCGCCCCCTGCTGGTCGGACACGTGACACTCACCGAGTTACTTCCGCCCACAGGGGAAATAATCAATGACCATGAGTTATTGTTATTGTTAGTAATAACAACAATAACAATTAATATTCAAATCATAATAATAACAGTAAGCATTACGTTTACTATAAGTTAGAATGAATACAAATATATATTAATATGAATATTGAAATACTATCAAGTATTATTAGTAACATCCTTATGATCCATATAATATAATTTGAATCATTATCAGGATTTAAATCATCAATATAATTTTCATCACTATCGATATATTATAGTTGTTTTTATTTTCATTATTATTATTTCATGAAATAAGTCAGTTGGTCTGGACGTGTTTTCATCATCTACATTTGTGTGTGAAGGCGTAGACCCCATCACCACCTCCACCGCCGGCTCCTCCTCCTCCTCCACTCCCACCACCTCCACCGCCGGCTCCTCCTCCTCCTCCACTCCCACCTCCTCCTCCTCCACCTCCACCTCCTCCTCCTCCTCCACTCCCACCTCCTCCACCTCCACTCCCACCTCCACCTCCTCCTCCTCCTCCTCCAGCAGCAGCTTCCACAGTGAGTTTATTACACACACTTTAGAATAAAAAACATTATTGCGGCGCGTCTGATTCATTTAAATGTTATTTTCTTTCGCTCCACCAGTTCGACCTCCTGTGATTCTGTCGCCACAGAACGGCACTGTCTTTGAAAGTCTGCATGGTGAGCGTTAATACATAAATAATAATAAATACCCGTACACATCAGATGTGACCCCCTCTGACCTCTGACCTCTGCAGGCTCAACACTGGCGCTCTCTTGCACGGTGCTCACCGACTGCCGGGCGGCGGAGGAGACGGCGGTCACGTGGCTCGTCGACGAGCGATGGGCGGAGTCCTCGTACCTGGAGGGGCGCAGGTAACTGCTGGGTTCTTCTCTGGCAGATATTTGAGGCGAAGAAGAAGAGACGGTCAACGGGGACGTACGGAGACACATCTTTGAGTAAATACATCTGTTCATGATGCTGCCTGTTTCCAGGGTAACCGGCGCGCCCGACGGCTGCCGCGTTGAGCTGAGGCTGGTCGTCGTGGCGATGACAGAAGAACACACGCAGTCGGAGCTGAGGTGCGTCGCTCGGAACCGAGGAGGCCAACAGGAAGTGGTGGCCCGACTTCAGCTGGAGGGTGAGTCGTGTGGTGGGCGGGGCCTAATTAAAGGACCGACCTGATCCTAGTTTACATTCATTCACTCACCCCCCCCCCTCCCTCCTCCCCCCTCACAGACTCCACCGTCACCTGGCTGGTGGTCTCGGCGGGGGCCGTCTCCTGCTTCCTGACCGTGGTGTCCGTCTTCCTCTTCGTCCTCTTCCGGTCCTCAGGGAAGAGGAACATGGACTACTTCCTGGCTCGGCAGAGCAGCTGCTAGGAGACCTGCTCCTCCTCCTGCTCCTCGTACTCCTCCTCCTGCTATGTAAATGTGTAAAAAAGAGTAACCCAACTCATGTAGTGTGAAGTCAAACCCAAGACAATGTGAGACCCCTTGAAGCTCCACTTGCTTGTTTAGGGGGGGGGGGGAGGCTACCAGGTGACTTATTTTATTTAATCAGACAAAAGCAGAAAGCAAATAAAAGCCTCGGGTGAAGTGTTTGGTGGAAGGAGCTCTGACTTCTTTTCATACGTTTACGTTCTCCGGACTCAACAAATACCTCAAAACTCAACGTTGACTGTTCCAATGTTTGTTCGTTGGATCTCATCAGATTCTACCGTGCACGTCACGTGTACGAAATGTTGGACAGATGTGAAGTGCGTTTGAATATGTAACATTTCAAATGTTAAAATCATATCGATAATAAATGTGTTTTACTGTGTTTAAGTCTTGAATGCTCTAAAATCTAACAATGATTTTTTGTGATTATTGTATTTAAAATATTACTGTAGAATTGATATTATACAAAAAGAATGTAAATATTGAGGAAAAGTTAAGGTTTTCTTTCATGAACGTTTTTGAAATGATTTCTTGCTTCTCTTTTGACCGAACGGTGGTTTGTTGTCTTTGGTGTGACAGACGATACAAACATGATGCACAATATTATCATTCTTTATTTGCAATAAAAAATAGGTAAAAGATCTCCCTTTACACGTATACCAGGGAAACACAGCACGTTGTGACCCCCCCCCCAAACATCTGGACAGATCGCTGATCTAAATGCTTCATCATTCATTCTTCTTTTACAAAAGCTCCAATAACGGCTCAGTATTTCTCACCAAAACGTCTTTTAGAGCTTTAAGTTGTGAAGGTCGCTGCTGACTCGTGTCTCTAAATGCTACAGGACGGTGGTTCAGCTCCAACCGTCACAGGTGGGACGTAAGAGTTGACAGCCAGTGAACAGGAAGCGACCGAAGAGGACGTACAGACGTTAAAGGCCACAGCAAAATAACTGGAACCGTCCACATCGCCCCGTTAATCTCACGTCGGGTCAATTACGCTCATCATGAGGAACATTCAACCCGTTTCCTTCTCAGAATGCATGCTGGGTTTTTTACCAACATGTTTCTGCTTCTCTGAAGCGGGAAGTATCCAAAACACTCCAAGAGAAGCCGCTGTGCGTTCTGACAAACACTGATACCGACTGAAGTCATCGCACGCAAACGTCTCAGAAAGAAGGTGAATTGTTCCTTAAACATTTAAAAGGCCTCAGAGTTACATGATAAACACGAGAATCCCCCGGATGAACATTTCACCGGACGCAGCAGAGAACCACAGGAGAACACCAGCAGGACACCGTCCCTCAGATATGCTACGGCGGGACATCACGGCGCCGCTTCAGAGGGGACAGCGTCGTCCTTCGTCTCCTCTGAGAACTCGAGGAACGCGGCGTGATGCTCGTGTCGGCGCTTTTCTCTCGCTGAGGTCGGAGAGGAGAAATAAGCCGGACGGGAACATTCGCTGTGACGCCATAACGACGCTTTTCTTCCTTCATGTTTCAGGACGGTTTCTTTTTCTTTTGACTGCACAAACAGCCACAGAAAAACTGCAGTTTCAGCTCAGAAGAAGAAACACTGCTCAGTAGAAGAAGGAACAATGGGGGGTCAGAGAGGAGGGCGGACCGGCTGGACCCGACCGGAGGCGAGGAGACGCAGGTGGAGCGACGGAGGTGGGGGGGGGGGTAAACGTCCACACAAGAGAACCAGTCAGTCTCAAGACAATTTGCTGGACTTCATAGAAGCCAGGACGATTCGGGTCTTTGGTCCCCCTCCCACCTCCCCCCATCCCCAAGCACGCCGGCGATCACCGCGGCCGCCTCCTGCTGACGAAGATGAGGACCCTGCGGATGGCGATGAGGCGGTCCTTGAGGGAGGTCATGGCCAGGATGGTGAGCTGGGCTCGGTTCTCCAGCGGGAGGACGGCGAGCAGCCACCAGCACCAGGCCGGACCACTGGGACTGGCCTGCGGGGTGGGGGGGGGAGACCAGGTTAACACTCAAGCTCACAAACAGTAATCAGAATAATGCCCTTCAAACTACAGCACAACGTGCAGCTCATTGAAACCAGCAACGTCCGCCATGTTTCTGCAGGAATTCAAGCAAAAGTTGTGCCCACCTGGGGGTCCGAGTCCTGGCTGGGGAGCTGACCGAAGTGGCTGAGGATCTGGCTCTTCATGTTGTCCTTCAGCGAGGTGAACCAGTTGTTGGCCTGCTCGTACACGGCGTTGTGCAGCTTCAGAAGCTCCGCCAGCTCCTCCCCCTCCACCTGATTGGACACACAGGTTTTTAGAGGAATTTAGAGCTTTTTTAACACGAGGCACCAGAAGAAAGAAGCACAATATTCAAATTAAACGTCTTTATAAAGGAAGTGGACACATCATGGTGACCTGGACCATGTTTAGACTGAGGAGGACGTAGAGACCTGTCAATCAGCCTGTAGCCCCGCCCTAAAGCGTCCCCTGCTGTATGGTCGGTTTGACTCTAAATGGACCAGAATTCACTGAATGAAGAAGCAGCTTTAACTCATGAAGGCTTCACTTCTCTCAGAGGTTAAATCATTTGTATCCGTCCTCGCAGGGAGAAACTGCTCTTCTTTGTACGGCATCGTTTGACAGATCCAAAGACACGAAGACGCCCACCTTCTTGTCCTCCAGGTACTCGATCTTGGCGGTGTTGTAGCCGTCTCTCTGTCCGTGGCTGAGGACCTTGAAACGCGACACGCCGATGGTGTCGACCACCGAGCGACCGTCAGGAAAGAACTTCACGTCTCGCACCTGAAACGGCAATTTGGACCTCAAAGTTACCGAACCGCACGCACGCACACACACACACACACACACACGCGCGCACGCACGCACGCACGCACGCACGCACACACACACACGCGCGCGCACACACGTACCTCCAGCATGCAGCCGTAGTCGGCGAAGCCCTTGAGCTCGTCAGCGATGCACATGCCGAACTGCTTGGTGCCCGTCTCCATGGAGCGGCGGATCATGAGGCGGTAGCGCGGCTCGAAGACGTGCAGCGGGCAGGTGATGGTGGGGAACGCCATGGTGCAAATGAAGATGGGAACTTCCTGGTTCAAGCTGCAGGACGCGGGAGAGAGCGTTTTAGAGAGCAGAAACAGATGTGCGTGTGTGTTGCTAAGGAAGGCGTCGTGTTACTAACTTGGACAGCTCCTTCATCTCCTCTTCGTGGATCTTCTTTCGCTCTGCCAGCTCGTCTCCGAGGTAACGCTGGAGCACTTCCTCCATCAGCAGGGTCTTGCTGTAGCCTCTAGTGGCCAGATACTGTAATGAAAACACACACGCATAAGTGTGCTGACACACAGTGGATTTTCATCATCATCCAATCCAAGATAGTAATTAAAAATACAATCAATGGATCAATTCATCTAATGAAACGTTGGCCTGTAAAAAGGTCAGAAAAGGTCATAATGAATTAAGTGGAAGGTTTGAATAAATACATCAGCACATGTATTTTGTTGGTATATTGCTGCACCTCGGACAGGTTCTCCTTGCACAGAGGGCAGTTGGAGTTGTGGTCCAGGCAGCGCTCCAGACACTTGAGGCAGAAGGTGTGTCCACAGGGCGTCGCCACCGGCTCGTAGAACAACCTGGAGAAGCAGAAGCGGTTCACAGGCTTTAGACCCTCGATGCAGACTGTGACTCGCTGCTACGGAAAGAGACCGTGTTCTGTGTGGTCACCTCATGCAGAGGGAACACTCCATGTCTCCACTGTCCAGCAGCCCGGCAGGAAACGACCGTCCTCCGAGCGGCGAGGCCGCCTCTCACGCCGCTCTCCTCGTCTGCACTCGAACAAAGGTTAGAACATCAGCACTGACGCCCATTAGAGTCAATTATGCAGAATTCAGAGACCAGGGGAAGATTTGCCCACCTGGTCGGAGCAGCTTGGTGGGGGGGTTGAAGGCCACCACGGCGCCGTCTCCGCTGTGCTTCCGTTTGAGGCCTCCGGGGGGCGGCGGCAGGGCGGCCAGGACGCCGGCCAGGCTCTTGGCGCTGCTCTCACCGGCGCCGTGCTCCGATCTACCGGGAGACGCCGAGGACACTCGGCACAAGGACTCGTCCGCCGGAGGACTTTTAGTCCCGCTGAACTCAGAGTCCTGGAAGGACAGAGGGACACGCGGAGGGACGGAGACAATTATTGACAGCAGTGGTGAAAGTACATGTCTTTCTGTCTGAGGTCCTGCTGCTCAATGGGGGGGGGGGGGACGACACTGGGTGTGTCTCGCATTCACCTGTGAGGAGGCGGAGCCGGGTTTCTGCGTCAGCGGCCTCAGGCTCCTCAGCAGGGCGGGGGGCTTGAGGAGGCCCAGCCCCCCCTGCAGCGGGCGCAGCAGGGGGGGCACCCCCTCGCTCTCGAAGACGGAGGAGAAGACCTCACTGAGGACCTGCAGGACGGGGACCACACACACGGTCAACACACGCACGTCTTGGCCTCGCTCGGAGACGTGGATAGAGGGGGGGGGGGGGGGGGGGGGGGGGGGGGCACCTTCTGGGCTTGCAGCTTCACTTCGGTCCAGTCGGGCTTCAGCGCCACACACAAGAAGAGCTCCTGCAGGGCCTCGTCCTTCTGCCCCGCCCCAATCAGCGCCGAGGCCTTCACACAGTGAGCCTGAAGCAACGGAGAGAAATGAGAAATAAACTTCTACACATTATAATACGTTAAGTGGACAATTAGTGCATAAGGAGTTTACAATTATTTATCTGCAATTTAAGACGGTAAAATGTTGTGTAGTTATTTAAAGAGTAAATGTTGTGCTGCTCATCATCCGGATGAGAAGGAGCAACAGAACAAACGAACATCTGGAGTGTCCTCACCTCGCCCCACAGAGGTTTCATCCGACACAAGCTGCTGCCGTCCTGCACGGCCTGACTGAAGTTCCTCATGTCCATGAGCAAGGCCGCCCGCTGGCACAGCAGCCTGCCTGAGGAGGGCGCTGTGGAGCACACACACACACACACACACACACGTCAGCGGATGGACCTCCAGGGGACCGCCGAGGGCAACAATGTAACAAGTAGCTAAAGCCAGAGTGTGTGAACACACACACACGTATGTCAGTGTTACACAACAGGCAGTGTTCCCCTTTAGTGACCTTTGACCCGATGTCTCATGGAGCCGGATGGCAGCTCGTTGATTACATGGATTAGTTGGACACAAGTACGTGAACCACTGGACGTAGTTTGTGTCACACATCTGTGGGACACAACGCGACACGCCGCCGCCCTCCAGACGAGGTCACTCTGAGAGGTTTGAATGGGGGCCGTGGTCATTGTGACCACGGGGGGCCCCGTTGGATGGTGAAGGTCTTTGCAGAGTCCTCTCACAATCTATTTCTCCAAAACGCCGAAGCCCGGACAGCAGGACCAATGTCTTACACCCCCCCCCCCCCCCCCCGCTGGGCCTTTCATACGGCCTTTAGGCAAGAACAAACATCTGTATCATTATGCGACGTGTTTCCGTGAAATAAGACTTGTTTACTTTCCATGCTGTTCTATTCTAGTCTGTGAACCTGCTTCAACCGGTTTTGGTCTCAGGAAAACCGGCCGAACCGGCATTCGTTGGGGTGGGGGGGGGGGCACAGCTGTGCAGAGCGTCCTTTAACCGAGTCGACAGCCACAGCGTTGGATATTCACGACATTGGTGAATAGATCAAACCTAATGAAAATCAGCCAAGACTCGTCACGTTCCAAAACAACAACACTAAAATATGCTTCAGTCTGGTGACGGAGAGTCCGGAACTTACTATTCACCCCGGGGCCTAAATACGGAGGATGAAGAGAGGAAGTCAGCTGGATGCGCTTTAACAGAGATGATGGACGACCTGCATCCTCATCACTTCTCATCCAAACAATAAAACACTAACTTGAGTTTGTGACGACTCCACTTCTCTCTGGATTTATTCCCTCAGCAAACATTGTAAAGTTCCACGTCCTCTTCAATACACACGTGTATAAACTCATGTAGGAAAACGTGTCCATGGAAACGTTGAAATGAGAAAGGGGGACTGGAATGTTTATTTGGGTCCTCAGTTAATAAGTGACCCTGTTCCACATTTCATTTAAGGACGACAGGAAATGGTTGTTTTTGATGTGAACCTCCTGCGACGAGTCACACACTGTAAAGATGGATCGTGTTACAGCACAATAATGCTGTTTAATGATGCAGCTCCGGTCACAAAGCGGCTTATGGAAGGCTGTGGGGGGGGGGGGGGGGGCAGCATCCCCTCACTCACAGCGGCTCTAGCACACCGCCAGCCGGGGAACAGGCCCTGAATGCGCCACTGCGGAGGATCAGATGTGCGCTGCTTAGGTAACCGAGCCCGGTGCGTCACACCGGCTCTGACCTCAGATAACACGAGACGCCGCCTGCCGGCGACACCGGGAACTACAGCGGAAAGTAGGTCACCTGCGCCACAACCACATCCGACGTCCAAAGGGGTAAATAAAGGGGTTTGTGCGAGTTGGGTTACGCGGAGTGCGTGTGCACTTACCCAGATCCACGGCGGCGTTGTACTTCTCCAAAGCCTGCGCGGGGCTCTGGTTCTTCCACAGCAGCTCGCCCTCCGCCCAGAGCTTCCGGGCTTGGCTCTCGGCGGCGAACAGCTTGGCCAGCAGGCCGCTGAGGACCACGTCCAGCCGGTGTCCGTTCGGCACCGCGTCCTTCCCGCTCAGCCGCTGCTGGCAGTGCGCGCACTCCTCCACGGCCTCCACGCAGCTCCTGCAGAAGGTGTGCCCGCACTCCACGGTGGTGGGCTCGTGCAGGAGGCGCCTGCAGAGGCCACAGGAGAACAGGTCCAGGGCCTCGTCCACCGCGCAGTCACCGTCGCCGTCCGGGACGCCGTCCGCCCCCCCGCTGCGTGTCCCGGACGCGTTCGACAGGCCCAGCTCCTTCTCGCGGAGGGTCCGCGCGATGGTTTCCACCAGGACGGGAAGCTCCTCCGGGCGCAGCTTGCCCAGAGTGGCCGCCGTGCAGAACGAGTCCAGCGCCTCGGAGATCCGCCCGGCTCGCGTCAGAGAGTCGGCCTTCCTCAGACACAAGCCCCGGTCCGGCTGCTGGAGGTCCGACAGCATGGAGCCGTAGATCTCCACGGCCAGGTTAAAGTCCCCGGCCCGGTTGGCCTCCTCTGCCACCTCCAGCATTTCGCTGCAGACCCCCGGGGGGCCGGGCGGCCGGTGGACGAGCAGCTCGCCCCGGCGAGACCTCACCTCGGTCTCCATCTTCGTTCTCACCTGAAACCTCTAGATGCTTAAATGGCGACTAAGCTCACGGAGAGTCCTCCTCGCGCTGCCGGCCATTTCAAACAGATCTCCCCGCGTCACGCGACCCAAAGTCCGGTTAAACGTACGTCCGTGTGACATCGCGGCTCCGAGTCAAAGTCCCGCAAACAGCCCCGCCTCGGCCTCTCCGCCGCGGCCGAGCTCCGCCGGGGAGCCGGACGCTCCGCGGGCCGCGTTCGGGCTTTAAGCCGGTTAACGGGCCGTTGCAGTCTGACGTCTTCGCGCCGCAAACCCAAAACAAGCCCGACAAACCCGCTGCGTCGTCTTTTACGTAAGCTAACGGGCTAACGTTGAAGTTAGCTAGCTCAACGCGGCCCTCCGGAACCCGACGTGAGGCAGAATCAAGCCGCGTCGTTAAGTCGAATCCGTTCGCTGTTCCTCCTCCGTCAGCGGCTCCGGCCGGTGGCGACACCGCGGGCTCCGGTTCTCTCCATCTTGGTCCTTGTCCCGCTAGCTTCGGCGGCTGGACGGTTCCTCCTGCGGCTCCTCGGACGCGGCGTTCCCATTGGCTGGAGGCAGCGCGAGGGCGGCGTCATATGACGCGCCCCGCCGGCTCCCATTGGCCAGTTAACTCGCCCGCTGACGTAACGCACGGATGTTGCGTAAGTTCCCAAAAGCCGACCGTGGTGGATTGAAGCGTTGATCACTTATTCATTTTTAATAAAAGCGTCACACGTGATATCACAATGAAACGCCTTTAAAAAAAACGTTCTGTTTGAGTTGAATTATCACATAGTTTTACTCCGAGTCCGGATGTGGAATTGATTCATTGCTTTTATGTAATCCATTTATATAATCGGTGTTTATCATGCTTTCATAATATTGAAATATAATGTTGCAGAGCCATTTGCCAAACAATGAATACAAATCAGGTAGCCTGGTTTCAGACTTCTGGGTTTCTCAAACACAGTGACTTACATAAAGGATTCAAAATAAGGATTATATCAAGTTTACAAAGTGCTTTTTACAGATTACAAAGTTAAAGTGAGGCAATAGTAACAGTGTCCAACAAAATAAACTGGTAGAATTTAAACATTGATTAAACAGTACAATAGTTAAACAACAATAAAAACATTTGATACAGTAACAACAAACTTCACTAATTGATAAAAAATAATGATTAAAAGTCATCTCATTTTTTTTCTGTTTATGTAATAATAATGATGTAATAATGATGGTAATGCTTTAGCAAAGCACAAGGGAGGCAACCACCAAGAGCGCCCTCCCGGTGACACATTTGTGTTCATCAGAAATCAGAATATTTAGCAGATTTAGTGTAGAAAACACAACATGTATTCCTTTTGAAGACGAACGCTGGTAAACTGCTTCAAAAGTGTCACTAATTCTGAGATATTCCAAGTTGAAACGTCTCCTCAAATCCTGATTTACAATCCAAAGGGGCAGTTATAATTCATATTAAATTCCTCCTCTCAATCTGCTGATTGAGGACAAACAGTGAGTCACATAAACGTTTTGATTGATAAAGTCAGCTTCAGCAGGTGTTAAAGCTTCAACTGTCGACTTCTGCACTGAAACATTTCTGTCTCTCAATTCTCTCTCAATTAAGCGATTGATGAACTTATTGACTCCAAGGAATGAATG